CCTAAACTCGAACTCAACTACCAAGGCTCCTAAACTATGGCTCCTTAGCCAAACTCACGCTAGTATTTTGTTATGTTATCAGAGCTTAACGTTCCTGGCCTGTGGGCCCACTCGATTCCGCTGCCCTACTGTGTGTCGCGCGCCCCGTGGCGCGCGACATCCCATTTTTCTTCCCGCCACGCGCTCGGAGCGCGTTGCGGTTTTCTGCCCGCCGTGCGCCCCGAGGCGCGCGGCGGGTTCCTACCTCGTTGCGGCGTCTTAGGGGCCCGCGCACTGGCCCCGACCGTCGCCTCGTCGAGGCGTTTTGGGGGCCTGCACGCAGGTCCCTCCCGTCGCCTCGTCGCGGCACTTTCGGGGCCCGCGAGCTGGCCCCTCCCGTTGCCTCGTCGCGGCGCCTTAGGGGCCTGCGCGCGGTCCCCTCTCGTTGCCAGTCGAGGCACTTTTGGGGACCTGCGCGGCTCCCTAGCACATCGCCCGACAACCGGGTGGTCACCACGTCGGACGTGGTGTTCTACGAGCACATGTCGTTGGAGGTGTGGAAGTCGGAGCACGGGCCGGCGTCAGGACGGACGTCGACCACCCCGCCGACGGACACCTCGACGACGACACTGCCTCTGCTCGCCGAGGTCGGTGAGCTTGCTGATGAGGACGCCGAGGTCGTCCGTTCTCCTTCCCCTCCCCTTGCACACCCTGCCCCTCCCCTCGTGGCCGACCTGCATGGGCTGACTCCATTGTCGGCCTTCGGCGATGAGGGGAGCAGTGGGGCGTCGCCTGTGGCGCTGGCCAAGAGCATCGCCGGTGGCCGACGTGACGTCCTGCAAGTCGACAAGAGAGTGAAGTCGACGCCGACAGGAGAGGAGCAGGCCGAGGTAAAGCCGACGGTGGTGAAGTCGGCGAAGGGGGCAGCGACAAGGCACCAACCGACAGGGGAGCAGGCAGCAGCCAAGTCGACCAAGGAGCAGTCGGCGACAGGGCAGTCGGCAGGGGAGCCGACCACAGGGGAGAAGTCGGCAGGGATGCCGACTGTGGTGCAGCAGGATGCTGAGGGCAGTGACGCCGGCGAAGAGGAAACCAAGCAGGTAGACGCCGAGGAGTCCACCGACAGCAACGTGGAAGTCGGACCACGGAAGACACGCCGACTTCGAAGGCCGCCTGACTTCTTCGTCCCGGCTGCCTTCACCACGGTGTACGACGAGGTCGACGACGACTTGCTGTACGACGACGCCGAGGAGGACGAAGACTTGCCAGAGCTCGACCCCGACATGCACGCCGACCCCGAGCACCACTGGGACATCTCAACGATGACGGTGAAGGAGGCCTTGGCATGCTGGAAAGGCAAGGCGGTGAAGGCCGCCATGGAGGAGGAAATCCGCAGCCTCATCAGCATGGGAACTTGGGAGCTGGTCGAACGCCCACCCGGGGTGAACATCATGAAGAACCGGTGGGTGCTGACGACGAAGTACCGCATCGACGACACCGTCGAGCGCGAGAAGGCGAGGCTGGTCGTGAAGGGATTCACACAGGTGTATGGCGCCGACTACGACGAGACATACGCGCCGGTGAGCAGCTATGTCACGCTGAGGATCTTCCTCAGCATCGTCGCCGTGCTCAACCTCAACCTGATGCAGCTCGACATGAAGAACGCCTTCTTGTAGAGCAAGCTCGACCGGGTGCTTTACATGTACCAGCCGGACCACTTCAGTGACGGGACCGGCCGGGTCTGTAAGCTGCTGAAGAGCCTGTACGGGCTGAAGCAGTCGCCGTTGCTGTGGTACAAGGCGCTCAACGACGTTCTGGTCGGGGCCGGGTGGAAGAAGAGCCAGGTCGACGAGGCTTTGTACTTCAAGGTCGACAAGGTGGCCTGCTGGGTGCTGCGGGAGATCTCGCCGGTGCAGAAGTACCTCGGGCTGGAGATCGTGCGCGACAGGTCGGCGAGGAAGCTGTGGCTCCACCAGCAGGGCTATGCAGACAAGCGTCATAGGCGTTTTCTCGACAAGGAGCAGACTGGGCGCACTCCGAAGACGCCGGTCTCGGTCGACGCCTATGTCGAGCTCACCTTCGACGACGAAGAGGCACAGGAGCGCCAAGAGGAGGAGCACCGGCAGAAGGTCGGCTCGCTGCAGTTTGCGGCGACAACGACAAGGCCGGACATCGCCTTTGCCTGCAGCAAGCTGGGGAGCGGCCTCACGGTGAGGAGCGACCAGCACTGGCGCGAGGTCGACCGTTGCCTCGCCTATTTTGCCAACACCCGTGACACCGCCCTGCAGTTTGGCGGTGGACTAGAGTCGCTGAAGCTGGTCGGCTACGTGGACGCCGACGACGCCGGCGACAAGCAGAACCGGACGAGCAGAGGCGGCTACGTGCTCGACTACGGAGGGGCCGCAGTCTCCTGGTCGGGCCAGCGCATCAAGTGCGCGACACTGTCGTCGACCGAGTCGGAGTATGTGGCGGCAACAGAAGCCGGCAAGGAGGGACGTCGACTTCGTTTTCTTCTTGCAGAATTCCGGCAGCTGGACGCTGGGACGCCGACTGTCCTTCGGGTGGACAACAAGTCGGCCATCACAGTCGCCGAGGGCATGGGATTGACGGGCAACCTCAAGCACATGGAACGGCGACAAGCCTGGCTGCAGCACATGGTGAAGCGTGGGAAGTTCTCACTAAGGTACATCCCGACCGCTGAGCAGCCAGCCGACTTCCTGACGAAGGCGCTGCACTACCCGGCCTTCAACCGGTGCTCCGTTGCAATCGGCCAGGTGCGCCTGGTCGACGTGGGCGACGGTGACAACGACGTGCAGCAGTAGGTGCCATGCCCTCTTGCATGGCTGGTGCAGTGACCGGCGTGCTGTGTGTTGGGTGCACGCCGACGGGCTATTCTCTGAGTGGTGCTGCCGTATGGGCTGTGGGCCCAAGCGTGAACGCGGCAGGGGAGTGTCAACGGGAGTTGTGGTTGGCCCCGTCCTCGCTTGGGCGGAGCCGACTTAAAGTCGGGTGTGCGGGGAGCACAACCGATCAGTTGCAGTGAGGGCGCCCAGCTGGAGGGCGCCGAGCAGGAGGACGCCGTCATGGGCGCCTGGACGGCGTCCTGGGAGGCTGGACGCCGACCTGGGCGTCTGGACGGCGTCCTGGGCGCCTGGACGCCGATCTGGGCGCCTGGACGCCGACCTGGGCGCCTGGACGGCGTCCTGGGAGGCTGGACGCCGACCTGGGCGCCTGGACGGCGTCCTGGGAGGCTGGACGCCGACCTGGGCGTCTGGACAGCGTCCTGGGCGCCTGGACGCCGACCTGGGCGCCTGGACGGCGTCCTGGGAGGTTGGACGCCGACCTGGGCGTCTGGACGGCGTCCTGGGCGCCTGGACGCCGACCTGGGCGCCTGGACGGCGTCCAGGGAGGTTGGACGCCGACCTGGGCGCCTGGACGCCGACCTGGGCATCTGCACGGCGGCTTGGGCACCCGGACGCCGACCTAGGCGCCTAGGCGTCGACCAGGGGAAGCCGACTTGGTGTGGTCGGCTGACAGGTGTGCTGGTCGACCTGGAGTTGGTCGACCAAGAGGGTTGTCGACCTGGAGCTGGTCGACCAAGGTTGTGGTCGACCTGGTGAGGTCGACTGAAGGTGGTCGTCGACTTGGGAGGTCGACGGGCACAAGAGGAAGCAGCCGGTCGACATGGTGGTTGCGTGGTCGACCAGGTTACCTGGGTGACGAGGTTTTGCGAAGGAGTGCGACGGTCGCCCAGGTGGTATTGGCGAGATCGACCTCGGTGGTGGTATCCCGAGGTCGACGTGGCTGATCAGGTGCAATCGTCAGCATGAGGACGACTTGGTGTGTGCGCTGTGCAGGTGACAAGGCATTGCACGCCAATCATCTGCGAGCACCTGCGAAGTAGGTGCGCTGCTGTTCAGCGGGAGCAACACTGGCACGCCGTCAACCTGCAGCGTTGGCACGCCGTCGACTTTGCACTGCTGGAGCGCGGTCGACCAAGTCGTGCTGGAGCGTGGTCGACCATGCTGCGCTGGCAGTCGACCTGCTTGCATGCTAGCTCTGATGTAGCCTTGTCTTGCCAATTTTTTTGTATCATTGTTGTGAACTTTTCCTAGTGGAACTCTTGCCAATTCTCCCCGTGAACTAGCAAGTAGTGTGAGCACTTGGAAACGACTAAGGAACGAACGAACGCAGAGATCCCTCCTACCCCGTGCCTAGCCCGAAGTCTAGCTCCCATTGATAGAGTTATCTCCGCAGCAACGACACGGCGGCTGGAGCGGCATGCAACGGCACGGTGGCTGCAGTGACATGCAATGGCATGACTAAGGCGGTTGCTGACGGAGCGGCCAGCCTCAAGACGTACGCGGTGGGCTCCAAGGCAACGCCCAACCTGTGGCACGCTCGCCTTGGACACGTCCACTTCGATGCGGTGAAGCGGACAGCCACGAGCGGTGGCGTGTTAGGCATGGACCTGGAGAAAGGAGGTGAGGATATGCCGTGCACCTCTTGCCATGAAACCAAACTCACTCGCGAATCATTTCCGACGCACGACGGGCGCGAGGAGCATGTTCTTGGGCTGGTCCATACTGACGTGTGCGGTCCATTTCAGACCCCAGCCATGGATGGAAGAAGGTACTACATTCTGTTCGTGGACCACGCCTCACGTTACACCTGGGGGAAGACGTTGAAGCTGAAGAGCGACGCGCTTGCTGCTTTCAAGGAATGGCTTTTCGAAGCTGAACGCCAAACCGGGATGACGCTGAAGGTGTTGCGGTCGGACCGGCTAGGGGAGTTTATGTCGAATGAGTTTCTGTTGCTGCTGAAGCAATGAGGAATCTTGCGTCAATTTTCTTGCCCCTCGACCCCCCAGCAGAACGGTGTGGCTGAACGCCGGAACCGTACGGTAACCGAGGGCAAGCGTGTGATGTTGGGGCACATGGGGGTGAAAGCACACTGGTGGCACTTCGCTTTTCAGCAGTTCTTGTGGGTGGTAAACCATGTGCACCAGTCCACCCTGCCCCATGGTGTGACCCCTCATTTGGTGGTGTTCAAATTCAAGGCCGATGTGTCCATGGTCCGTGTGTTTGGGTGCATGGTGCAATACCTCATTCCTGAGCATGAGCGTGAGGGAAAGCTTGCAAGCAAGACTCGTTGGGGCATGCACTTGGGCATGAGCATGGAAAGCAAGGGATGGCGTGTGGTGGATGTTGAGTCAAAGCGCATGGTCATCACCCGGGATGCACGTTTTTATGAGGACATGTCACTTGAACGGTGGCAGAAGTGGCGTGCACGCGTGGGTGACGGGAACGACCAGCCCACTCCACCCTTTGCTTCAGTCCCATCTCTCTTTCCTGAGCCCCACGACCCCGAGCCGAATCCGCCGCCACCACGTACCGTCATTGTGGTCCCGGTACTGTCCGTGCAAGGGGGCGGGCAACCCCTTGATCGCTCGGTGGGCCCTTTGGGCAGCAAGGCACCTACTGCACCTCCTCCTCTCGGTCCACCCTCCGTTGCTGATTCGACACCTGTGGGACCAGAGGATGGTCCTCTGGAGGTTGGCACCAGCATGGCTGATCACAAGGAGGGAGAAGGAGAAGTAGCAGTGGATGAGCAGTCACTAATGGCCCATGTGCATGAGCCTTCACCTGCAGTTCCCCCCATCCAGCACATTCCACCACCCCCACGTCGCTCCAGCAGGCCCAACAAGGGGGTGCCACCCGTACGGTTTCAGCCATCAGCCATGACGGCCCTGGATGCGGACGATGAGGACAACCCGTACGACGTGGCGTACCTTGCTGAGGACGATTGCGACACGGACAGCGATGACGAAGTGGAGTACCCGGACGAGGATGAGGAGGAGGAAGGCGCTTGGGGAGGTGTCATCTGGCAGCTGCGTTGACCGGACCTGACGGCAAGGAATGGTGGGCTGCTATGAGGGAGGAGATGGAGAGCCTTGACGAGCAAGGCACTTGGTCGTTGGCCAACCTACCCGAAGGTCGCAAAAGAGTCGGCGTCAAGTGGCTACTAAAGAAAAAGCTTCGGCCTGATGGCACTGAGGAGAAGTACAAGGCCAGGCTAGTGGCTATGGGCTTTAGCCAGCATTTTGGCATCGACTACGACGACACCGTTGGCAGCTACACCACAGTTCGCGTGCTCCCCTCAATCGCAGCAGCTAATGACATGGATTTGCTGCAGCTTGATGTGAAGAATGCATTTCTTCACGGCACCATCGACCAAGAGATCTACATGCAGCAGCCGCCCTACTTCACCGACGGTAGCAGCAAGGTGTGCCTCCTGCAGAAGAGCCTTTATGGGCTAAAGTAGAGTCCCCTTTTGTGGTACAAGGAGCTGGACAAGGTGCTCCTTGTGGAGGGGTACAAGAAGAGCCTTGTGGACCAGGCCCTATACTACAAGGATGGAGCAAGCGGGAAGCGCGTGTGGTGGATGACCTGCTAGCGGCAAGTGAAGACCAGCAGCTGCTGCAGGACCTGAAGGGGCTGCTGGCCAAGGCGTTTCAGCTCCGTGAGGTGGAGCCAGTGGAGCGCTACCTGGGGCTGCAGATTGTGCGAGATCGCCCCAACAGGACACTCCTTCTGCACCAGAATGCGTATGTGGCGAAGGTGCAGCAGTGGTTCTTCAAGGGGGCGCCACCTAAGAAGCAGCCGATCACTCCTCTCTCCTCTGCTAGCTTTGCCAAGAAGGATGCCGGGCAGTTTGCCAACCGTACCATGACCGAGTACTTGTCAATTCTCGGCATAGTGCAGTTTGCAGCCATCTCAACCCGTCCTGACCTCATTTTGCATGCAGTCGCCTTGCAGCAGGTGCACACCTCATGACGGATGCGCATTGGCATGAGCTCTTCCGCACACTCTCCTACTGGGCTGCCTCACCGGACATGGGGCTGCTGTTCAAGGGAGGACCAGAGAGTTTGACTCTCGTGGGGTATGCGGATGCGGATGATGCAGGCGACAAGGAGAACCGGTCGTCCACGGGAAGCTACCTCTTCAAGCTTGGCGGAGCTGCCGTTTCATGGCAGGCCAAGAAGCTGCAGGGTGCGACCAAACTTTCCTCTACCGAGAGCGAGCTTGTGGCTGCGGTGGAAGCGGGAAAGGAGGGGCGCAAGCTAAGGTTCCTGCTGTGGGAGTTTCAGCTGCTAAAGAAAGGTGTTCCCACCACCCTGTACGTCGACAACATGTCAGCGGTGCAGCTCAGCCAGGTGGGCGGGCTGCAGGGGCGCATGAAGCATGTGGACCGTCGCCACATGTGGCTACAGGACATGGTGCGCATGAAGAAGTTGGAGCTGCAGCACATCCCTACGACGGCGCAGCCCGCGGACTTCTTCACGAAGCGGCTCGACAAGGCAGCCTTCAACCGATGCTGTGCAGCAGCTGGGCTGGTGCAGCGTGCTCCTGACAGCAAGGGGGCGTGTTAGAAGGAAATGCTGCCATGAGCAACAAAATGCATGCGCTGGGATTCGAACTCGTGACCTTCAAATCTGTGCTGAAAGTGTCTCAGGACAGATTCAGGACAGTTTCTGCTAAGGCGCTGGTTATGGTGCACGCGGTTTCGAACTGGAGACCTTTCGATTCAAGTGTCCCGAAAGTGTCTTGTCAGGACAGATTGGGGACAGTTTGGGGACAAATTGGGGACAGTTTGGCGAAATCGATCTCGGGTCGCGTTCGGTTTGAAACTCGGCAGCGAAGTGTCGAAGTCAACGGAATTCGCACGGGAGTTACGGTCGGTGGTCGACGGAATTCTGGTCGCGGAAATTCTCGTCTACGGAATTCCAATCAACGGAATTCGCTCGGCGAAATTCAAGGCTCCGAATTTTGCGTCGACAAAATTCAACGTGCGACCCGGGTCGACACTTTTTTGTGTGCTTTTATTTTGTATTGCGTCCTAGTATAAAACCAGAGAGCACAAACCAGAAATCAACTAAGTCATTATGTTTGTGTGTTACTCTGGCTATAGTGGACCGTTTCCTGCAATCTTTGGTGTGTTGGAATCGTGCTTTCATGCTCTATCAATCTGCTATAGTAGTGGAATTCTACAAGATCGAGATGATCTTGAGGGAATTACAGCTTTGCTCAGCACAGGCGGTGGGGAGGAACTATAAGAACAAGTTGGTGGGAATGTTGTCTGTATGCATGCTTGTTTGTTTACTCCTTGCGCAGTATCTGCCTGAGAAGCCAGTTGGGACTATCCAGGTCCAGTTGGAGGCTAAGTAGCATTAGGAGGGGGAGAGTGGTGTAAGGCAGCATGGCTGTTGTCCGTTCATTCTTTGTGAGGATCTAGGATCGAGTTCAGAATTGAAGAATGAATATTGATTGATTCACCTGGGTACAACACGAGGCTATATATAGTCTCGACACAAGGCAGGTAACCCAGGTGTTACACAAATGTTCCGAGGGTCGCGAAGCGTCCCGAACAGAACCTTCCCGAACTCAGTAGAAAGGAATTCGGTGGGAACCGAAAGGCTTGAGTTCGGTGCACGTAACCTGTCTCGTTGCTATAACTATAATAGAATATAGGAATGCACCTAACCTAGGAAATCAAGCATATCTATGCATGATAAAATAAACCTAAGCTAGAAATAGCATAATAAAGGCAAGGCAAGCTAGCAAAGCAAGCACAAGCCGGCGTACTCTCCCACGCCCCCCCCCTCAAAGCTGGGTGGCATGGGAAACACCCTGCTTGACAAGATAGTCCTTGAGAGCACGGCATGCGTTGCCCATATCAGCTTCTGCAACCCAACTGTCCTCCGATGGGTCGTATCCCTTCGAGCGTATCAGGAACTTGAGGGTCTTGCCGCCGCGGCGCCGATGAGTGAAAATGCGCTCCACTTCGTACTCTGGTTCATCCTGTATGAGAACAGGTGGTGGTGGCGGTAGCTGCCGTCCATGGAATTGTTGGTTGGGGTCCTTGTAGGGCTTCAGTAGCTGAACATGGAAATCATTGTAAAGCTTCCACGTAGTAGGTAAGCGCAAGCAGAATGTTACTGGACTCACCTGTGCCTCAACGTGAAAGGGAACACAGAAGCGAGGCCGGAGCTTGGATGGTAGGTAAGATAGGTTCAAGTTGCGCGTGTCGAGGAGCACCCGATCTCCGGCTGCTATTGAGTGATCACGTCGCTGTCGATCGGCATACTGCTTCTGGGAGGTCTGCATCGTGGTGAGACGTCGCTGAGTCTTCTCCCATAGCTGCTGCATGGTGGTGATGAAGTCATGTGCGGCTTGGATGTGTGCCGGTGTGGTTGGCTGCTGTGGTGTAAGTGGTTCCCGTCCATAGCACAGGAAGAAAGGAGATTTCCCTGTGGCCGCATGTGACGCGTTGTTGTAAGCGAACTTTAGGGTTGGTAACTGTTGATCCCAGTGGCTGACGTCGTCTTTGCAAGCTGTGTGCAGTAACTGTTCAACCACCTGATTGAGTCGCTCAGTCTGTCCGTCAGTCTGGGGGTGGTATGCTGAAGTCATTGCAAGCTTTGTCCCCAACAACCCCATGAATTCCCTCCAGAACTTACTCGTGAACTTTCGGTCTCTGTCCGAGATGAGTGTAGTGGGGATGCCGTGGATGGTGATGATGCGGTCGAAGAAGAGGCGAACAGTTGCTTCAGCTGTTGCCGTGGCGTTGGTCGGGATGAAATGTCCCATTTGAGAGAACTTATCGATCGCCACGAGTATAGCGTCATGCCCTCGCGAGGTCGAAGGAAGCCCAGTGATGAAGTCGAGGCTAACGACCTGCCATGGCTGCTCCGGTACGGGTAGAGGCTGAAGTAACCCTGCTTTTTTCTGCTTGCTACTCTTCATCCGCTGGCACGTGTCGCATGAGGTGACGAACTGCTGCACGTCTGCTGCCATCCGGGGCCAGTAGTAATACTTCGCTATCCCTGCTAACGTCTTGTTGCTCCTGAAATGTCCCGCATATGGTACGTCGTGAAACTCCTCCAGTAGAATCTGTCGTATCGGGGCATAGTTCGGTACCCAAATCTTCCCTCAACCCTTCCTTACAGCTAAGTCTTTCTCCCACTGTAACAGCTTCTGTTTCTGCGCTATAGCAATCTCTGCATCCACGGAGTGCCCATGTTGGAATAGACCCTTGAGCAGAGGGTTCATCCCGTCGAGCTGGATGCCTGCTACATGACCAGGGCGGTTTAACGCGTACCTTGTTGTGTAGCCCGGGCTTGTAGACGATGTCGTAGTGAAAGTGAGTTTCCAGTAATTCCACCCACCGCACCTGTCGACGTGAGAGCGTCGGCTGCGACTTCAGGTATTTGAGACTGAAGTGGTCAGTGTAAAATGTAGTCTTGGTTCCCTCTAGGTAACATCTCCATGCCTTCAAGGCTGTGACTATCGCTAAGGCTTCCTTATCATGGATGGGGTACTTCAGTTCTGCTTAGTGTAACTTCTTACTGAGGTAGGCGATGGGCTGCAAACCGCGTCGGTGATCCTGCATCAGTACTGCTCCGACTGCCTGGTCACTAGCATCTGCTTCCACCACGTAGTATTTGTCAAGATCCGGTAAGATGAGTACTGGCGCTGTAGTTAGTGCTCTCTGTAGTTGCTCCATGGCTTGCTGATGGGGAGTATCCCATTTATAGGGCGTATCCTTTTTCAGTAGGTTGGTCAGTGGCGCTGCTATCTTAGCGTACTGCGGCACGAACCTGTTGTAATAGTTGGCGAAGCCGAGGAACTGCTGCAACTCCTTTACGTTCTCTGGTACTTTCCACTTCTTGACTGCTTCGATTTTCCGCGGGTCCACGTGTACGCCCTCCGCACTCACCATGTGCCCGAGAAACTGCACCTTCTTGAGGGCGTAGTCACTCTTCGACAGCTTAACGAAGAACTTATTCTCCCACAGGATCTCGAAGACTTTTCGCAGTTGCTCCATGTGCTCCTTCAT